TTTTACAGAGAGCAACATAGACACTAAATTACTACATGCATTTATGTTGATTTTCTCAGGCTATGCTCCCAATTGTCCTAACTATATGGTACAAATTAGGGTGTTATAGCAGATCTTCCTCAGGAAACAGAGAACACAGAAGTCTGATTCATAAAAACTTATGTTCTTTACTTCACACTGAAAAGTTTCAGTAAGTACAGAGGGTTAACTAGAACCTCAAGCGTCTTGCTTTTTCAGAGCAGCTCTCAGGCTTAAATAGTAAAGTAAAGGAAATAAGGACATTTTAGCCATTTCCAGGCCTTATCCACACTGGGTCATGAAGAAAACAACTGTAATTCCCTTCAAAGGAGTTAATTCATACTTCTTCCACTGGATTTGGACAACACTGAGTGCTGTAAAATATTATCACCAAGCTGAGAAATGATATAGTTATAATTACCAAAATTATATTTGTATTTAATTTAGGTTGAAATAAGTGTTTCCTCCAAATGAAAGGCTATACAGATGCACAATTAACTACTATGTGTCCATCTGGAATCCTAGTTACTGCTCCCTGCTGAACTCACCATGAGGAGTTGAGAACAGACTGAGTAGGATGATAACACTGGGTTGAACTCCATGTTCCATAAGAACCTTCACAGCTTCAATCACAGTATTTCCAGTGCCTGAAATATAATTACAATCAAATACTTAGTAATTTTAACAATTATTTTAAAATGCATTTGAAGTTATTGAAGATGAGCAATCTAAGATGATGTCACAAGGCAAAGCTTCATTTGAAGGCGCCTATTTTTTAATCCTTGTCATGAAGTTGATTCAGACTCAGAGACCCTATAAGATAGAGCAGAACTATCCTAGTTGGTGGTTCCATGGTTAAAACACTTGGCTGCTAACCAAAAGGTCAGTAGTTGTAACCTATCAGTCATTCCATAGAAGAAAGATGTGGGAGTCTGCTTCAATAAATATTTACAGCCTTGGAAATGCTATGAGACAGTACTACTCTGTCCTATAGGATCACTATGAGTCATAATCAACTTATCTGTATCCAACAACATTCTTTATTAATGATGTTACTTTCAATAATGGGCATGACACATATACTTTCCAGTTATCAAATACAGGACATGCCCTAATATTTGAAATATCATATTTAAATCACTCTTGAGACTATGTGAGTTATGATCTGAGTAAGTTTTGGAAACAGGAAAAAAAAATTACCTCAAAAAAATAAATGCTTGAGAAAAATCACTTTAGGAAGGGTCAATGTTCTTTCTTCTATATATTTTGTTTTAGTTCTCAGTACTGTCATTACAGTACTTCAAGCAAAGATGTCAGCTTGAAGACTAAGGTGTGCCTGACCCAAGCCATGGTATTTTCAATAACCTCATATGCATGTGAAAGCTGGACAGTGAATAAGGAAAATCATAGAAGAATTGATGCTTTTTAGTTATGGTGTTGGAGGAGACTATAGAAAGTGCCCTGGACTGCCAACAATACCATTCTTTGGTATTCCTAGGCATCTGTCTTCCCCCTTGTATGTCTATTCTATTCTTTTTAGAACTCAGAAGTGATTCCTTTCAGGACCCACCCTACTCTGGTATGAATTAATTAACATAACAGAAGAAAATCCTATTTCCAAACAGGACCATATCCACTAGTACAAGGACTGGGATTCAATGACTATTTTGGGGCTACACAATACATGGGGTCCACCCCTTGGCCACCCAAAATCCATAACCTTCTTACATGGAAAAACACACTCACTACATTACATCATCACTAAAAATCTTAACCCATCACCTCTAATTAAAAATCTCATTTTCTGAACCACCTAACTCAAGTATGGGTACATTTCTGGGCATATTCCATTGTGGGGCAAAATGCCTTTGCTGTGAAACGTAGAATACAAATTAACTGCTTCAAAAAGAAAAAAAAAATAGTGGGACAGGAATAGGTAGATATTCCCATTACAAAAGGGAGAATTAGAGGAAAAAAAGGTGTCATGAGTAACAAACAAGTCCAAAACCTAGCAACATTAGCTCTCAATGCTTAAAAATAATTATCTGCATCCCAGGCACATCTGAGCAATTGTCCTGTGTTCCAAGCTTGGGGCATTGGCCTCACACTCCACATCCTGGGTAGAATGTATCCTAATCCCTGGGTATTCTCCTCCAACACCAAGCCCTACTTTCTAGTTATACTGCAATGACATCCCTGTCATCTCAGATTTAAGAGGTAATATTCTCTTGGTGTATCAATCAAAATGTATTGAGCATTACTGGTGATTGGAATGCACAGGTTGGGAGCAAAGAGGAAGGATCGGTAATAGGAAAATATGGCCTTGGTGACAGAAATGATGCTGGAGAATGCATGATAGAATTTCACAAAATTTCAATGATTTGTTCATTTCAAATACCTTCTTTAGACAGCATAAGAGACAACTATATACATGGACCTCACCAGATAGAATACACAGAAATCAAATTGACTACCTCTGCAGAAATAGACAATGGAAAAGCTCTACATCATCAGTGAAATCAAGGCCATGGGCAAACTGTGGAATAGACCATCAATTACTCATATGCAAATTCAAACTGAAGCTGAAGAAAATGAAAACAAGTCCACGGGAGCCAAAATATGACCTTGAATATATTCTACCTGAATTTAGAGATCATCTGAACAACAGATTTGATACATTAAACACTAAAGACATATTGCATTAGGCAAATCTGCTGCACAAGACCTTTTTAAAGTGTTGAAGAGCAAAGATGTCAGCTTGAGGACCAAGGTGCATCTGACCCAAGCCCTGGTATTTTCAATAACCTCATATGCATGGGAAAGCTGAACAGTGAATAAGGAAGATTGTAGAAGAATTGATGCTTTTGGGTTATGGTGTTGGAGGAGAATATTGAAAGTTCAAGTGTGTTTTACCTTACTTATCTTTATTATTATTGTTTTTGTTGAGTGCCATTGAGTTAGTTCGGATTCGTAGTGACTCTGTATAGGGTTTCTGAGGAGTGGCTGGTGAGTTTGAACGACCGACTTTGTGATTCAAACCAACCTTGTGGTCTAGTGCATTATCCTGCAGTGCCACACCAGGACCCCAATACACTTTATAATTGTTCTTTTAAAAAGTATCATTTATATGGCCATAACCAATAGATCAGTTTTGGAAGAAGTGCAGCCAGAGTGCTCCTTGGAGGCCAGGATGGCCAAACGTCGTCTCTCATAGTTCGGACATATTGTCAGAAGGGATCAGTTGCTGGAGAAGGATATCACATTTGGTAGGGTGGAGGGTCAGAGAAAAAGAGATGGATTGACAAAGTAGAAGCATCAATGGATGGCCAGAGCCATAATTAATTAAGGAATTAAAATGAAGAAATTGAGACATATTTATCGAGGAATTGAAATAAAGAAATGAACATGGGGAAACCTGCACATGAAGAATTCATTGTTTTTGCAAAGCAACAATGAACTTTTTTTTTTTCTTTTCTTTTTCTTTCTCTTCTTTCTTTTTCTCTTTGGATGGCAGAGGCACAAAGAGTTGTTTTATTATTTTTTATGCATAGACCCCTAGTTAAATTTTTC